GAGAGAGAGAGAAAGAAAGGGGGAGGAGTCGACGACCATTGAAAACGTCATCGAGCACGTACATCCGTCGTTCCCTTTTATTCCTCTTTCGTCGTCTCTCAGGTAAACATGGAAATGAAAATTGCCAAAGGCGCGTAGCAAATAGAGTCCCTTTCTCATGATCTCCAGTGCATTTCCGTTCGCTTTCATTCGGACGATGTCTTTCGTTGATGTCCTTTCTTGCTATCCCTCTCTCTCTCTCTTTCTCTTTCTTGCTATCCCTTTCGGTCTGTCTGTCTCTCTTTCTCTTTCTTTCTCTCTCTCTCTCTCTCTCTCTCTCTCGTACCGCGTGATCTCGGAAAATTCAAAGGAAAAGCCAGGGAGGAAATCGTGCAACGTTCGTAACCCTTAGCGAAGTTGATTATTATTATGATGATGATGATGATGATGTGATCATAAATCATAATATGAGGAAATTCAGATACGTATAAATCGTATTAAAATTAAGCTGTTTCTTTATCATTAAGAAAATTACGTAAGGAAGAAAATAGTGATGATTGATTTAATATATATATATATATCGATTAATTGATAAAATCCTTTTCAAACGATACGTTTAATAATTATCATTTATGAATGATTTTCATCTGTCTTTCGTTTATTCATTACGAAGAAATATATTCTTTATGTATACCTCAAAGTAGATTGAAATCAAGCTTCGAAATAAAGATGATTCCGATCGATCGAATGCGGTTTTACCACCTTACGTCATCGTGATTTAAATTTTACGCGTAGAGTAAAAAATATGTATGTATGTATATATGTATATATGTAGTAGATGGGTATCATTGGAATCGCAATCTCTCTCTCTCTCTCTCTCTCTCTCTCTCTCTCTCTCTCTCTCGCTCGTTGGACTACTTTCGGATACGTTAAGAGTTACGAACTCTCAGACTTGGACGAATTTGTATCTAGCACTGTGAAGAGGAGGAACAACGAGGAATAAGAGATTGCTGCGGAAGAATGAAATTCTCGAGTATGCCGAGGAAACGACTTGGAAGCCTACACGAAGCGAAACGGATCCCATTTTCGAGAAACATAAAAGCGGATCCTTCCGATTCGTTTACATTATAAGGGCGGATCTTGGGTTTCCTCGACGGCGTCACGATGATGGGAGGAAATAGTCCGTTGGAAGAAAAGATCTTTCGAGTATTAGGGAGACAGAATGAAGAAAGACGTGAGAGAAGACCGAAATGATATGGCTGATTCGAGAGACCCGTCCGAACCGAATGATAAGAATAATTTACTGCTTCCTGATTCAAAATGATTTATCTCGAAGGAAAAAAGAAGGAGAGAGAGAGAGAGAGAGAGAGAGAGAGAGAGAGAGAGAGAAAGAAAAAAGAAATCGATTATTAATAATCCATATAGTTTCTAAAAAGAATAGTCTAAAATCAATCCTAATAGAATTTTCATCGAAATTTTATCGAAGAAGTAATAATGAACTATATCAGGCCAGACATATCGATGATTTGTTTACTTCAAAATATATAAATTATACACGTTTAATATCGTGCATTTCGGTGATGTTTATATTATTCGACGTATATATGTAGGTATATTCTAGGGTGTAATATATGCTAGGTACACGTGCAATAGGGTTTGCAAAAACAAATGTCTATCTACCGAGGAAACTGTTCTGTTTACTTTCACGATCATGTATTAAATAAACATCGTATTTTGTATAAAATTTCGTTTCGTAAAATATTTCTCGTAATATAAATTATTAACATTCTTCTCTCGTAATTTTTCTCTCCCTCTCTCTCTCTCTCTCTCTCTCTCTCTCTCTCTCTCTCTCTCTCTCTCTCTCTCTCTCTCTCTTTCTATACATAGTTTACTTAAACAACTTAAGTACATACATACATACATAGATACACCTCGTACATAACGTCGTCTAGACGCAATGTAATCAAAGAAAGTAGTACTACTGGCCGCATAACACACAAACTCTTAATCGATACGTCGTCGTCCAAGATCTACCCGAAGTTCCGTTTAATTTCAAATTCCCCGTTTGTGTATCAACCTTAACTTGTCGATTAATGACAACTTCCCTTTACGTTCTCATTCGCTCTCGATCGTGTTTAATCCGCTTAGCTAGAATTATTACCATTAACAAATTGCACGGACTAAGTTGTAGCCGATGTTGCGGCTCCTACCTCCCTTTATTCCCTTCCTTCCTTACTTCCTTCCTTCCTTCCTTCCTTCCTTCCTTCCTTCCTTACGAAGTAGAGGCTTGTTTTACGAAGAAGTTTCTCTGTCCACAACAACGCTATCTGTGGAAAGTGCAAACCTGTATACCCGACGAAAGGACCGGCTTTACCGTCGACTTGGCAAAATCCGAGACAAGATCAAACAGACGATGCCCGTACGGGGATTATGCGAGCTTCTGTCGAGCATTACCCTGCTGCTTCCTAGACATCGTTACCTCTCTTTCTCTTTCTCTCTCTCTCTCTCTCTCTCTCTCTCTCTCTCTCTCTATACTTTGTTCCGTTCTACTTAACGTAACTTAACTTAAATACTAAGCGATAACTAACGTTCAACAAATAATAGATAGATACTCCTTAAGCTCTCGTTTATTCCAACATAACAATATTCATTCTAAAGGACATATTTTATCGTTTAATAATGTTCACTTTCTTAAACTAACCATTTATATATCTTTATCTACTTGATTTTAAAGGTTTATGATAGGTTTATCATTCGATATCATAAAATCTTACGAACAAAATCTTTTCTTTTTTTTTTTTTTCTTACTATAATACTTTACGCAAGAAGATTCGTCATTTGCGATACGTTACCGCGCATGAAGTTTTCTAATGTAAATTCTTCACGTCAAATTCTTTAAAATGTATTACTTTTGCTAGAGAGTATGCTAGGGAATACGTGTCACTTATCGTACGAACCGAGCGAAAAGTTTTAATGGAATCCGTTACCGCGTTCCTCGGCTGCCTGCCTGTTTAAATTACGCGTTTCAAACCACTCCGAATATTCGGCAATTAACTCGAAAATTCGCTATTATTATCGCATCAAAGGATTTAATTACCATTTTCTATAGATCGAATGTCTCTTTCTCTCTCTCTCTCCCTCTCTCTCTCTCTCTCTCTCTCTCTGTCTTCCTCTCTTTTTCTCTAGAATATGGATGAACGCAACGATGCGCGTGAAATAATGAATCATATTGATATTAAAAAAGCAGATCATTTAACATCAATCAAAAAATATCTTACTTTTCTATCGCATCTCTACAATTGATTCATTTCAATATATTAATTCAATTTAATAAACACGGTGAACGTTAGCCAAAGTATAGTAAAAATTCGTCGATCTAATAATACAATTAATGATCGTATTATATCGATAAAAGGTCATTACATAGTTGTATTTCAATTCGAAAATTGTTAGAAAACATTTGGAGTATAAACAATTGATTAAATCGAAAAATTTTAGTTTTGTCTTCGATAAGAAAAGCTTCGAAAAGAAATCAGAAATAATCGAGAGATTTATTCGTAAAAAGAGAGAGAGAAAAAGAGAGAAAGAGAGAGAGAAAGAGAGAGAGAGCAAGAGAGAAAAAGTTCGAAGAGAAATAAGAAAAGAAAATAAATTAAATAGAATTACAAGGAAGCTAGGTAGATAAAAGAAAGAAACGAAAGACAGAAAAAGGAATAAAATAATAATAATAAGAAGAAGAAGAAGAAGAAGAAGAAGAAAAGGAAGAGGAAGAAGAAGAAGAGATAGAGTCAAGAAACATTCGAGAAGAAGTTGAGTGCCGAGTTAGAAGACAAAGAGGCACAAGCGTAGCGGAGTGATTGAGTAAATCAAGGAGGCACTTAGCGTGCCTGAAATTCCGACCTCCGTCCACTCGGTCTGTTCTGGCAGCACTCCAGCATCCGGTAGTCTCGCCATTTCTCCTACATCGCTTGTCGTGTGTGTTGTAGGAGATTCGAAAGGAAAGATCGCGAGAGAATCGAAGGATATTGCGAAATAAAACGAAAAGGAAATATAAATAAAATAAAGAAAAAAAAAAAAAAAGAAAAAAAAAAAGAAAGAAAGAAAAGAAAACCTACAAATCGATAAATGAAGAAAACGAAAGAAGAAGAAAAAAAGAAAGAAAAAAAGAAAGGAGAAAAGAAAGTCCGATATTGTTTCGTAAAGAAAACTTTTTTCAAATACTTACCAAGGATCTGTGTCCTTCTATTTATTTCAATATACACGTATTTACTTCGAATCGAATTTTAAATATAATACCAGAGAGAAAAATATATCGTGTAATTTATAAAAGACGTTTAACACTTTACAATGGCCGTTTTAACGTTCGAACCACCGTCGATACGTATTTTTCACTTTTAAAATAATGACACGATTTCAATGAGAAAAATAGTATTAGAAAGTCGTTTAAATCTTTTTCGAATTCTAAACGCGTATGTATCAGCACTGAACTGGACCAGCGTACTGATGTCCATTGTTTTACCACATTCTACTCTCATTTATTGTTCTTCTGGAAGCCGATCGAATGTTCCTCAAGTGGAAGAGAAACGATTCCGATGTGTGGCAATTCCGCGAAAGTTTCTACGAAGAGACGTCAACCTATTGAAAACGTTACAAAGCCTTTTCACGTTTCCCCCATGTATATAAATAAAATAAAATTTTTCTTTTTTTTTTCTCCTTTTTTTTCTTTCTTCCTCTTTTCTAGATCCTCCTACTTGCGAATAAATCATTTTTATATGATCGATCGATATTTTAAAAAAGATAATTAACCGAAGATTGAATCTAACTTTCTTGTATTCTTTTGTATATGTAAATACATTCGTACATAATAAAGTATAATGCAATAAGGAAGAGTATAACGTCGAAATTAAAGTATCTAAGTACGTTGAAAGGATCTCAAAGGTAATCGAAAGGTTTTCGCTACGGTAGAAAAAGCGGAGAAACAATCACCGAGCTTTTACGCACGAACGATCAAGAGCTCTTAC